ATGGGGGTGGGGGGGTTGGAAGAGGGAGAGTGTTTTTTTTTTTTTTTTTTTTTTTTGGACAATGTTCAGCTGATTTCACCAGAGCTCTCACAGCATCACACAGTTCATAAATACTTGTGTGTCATTCAAATGTGTTGAATCCATAGCTCTTCTGTGAAGTTGCCAAGTACAATTTCCCCAAAATGCTGCAGACATAGCTGTTCCCAGGTGTGAGGAGTTTGTCACTCTGATGACTGAATAAGATGCCAAAGTCTACTCTGATGGCTGATAGACGAGTGCTAGTACCATGTCTGAAATATGAATATATCTTATGTTGTTGTATACATCTGTCACTGCTGTGATTTTTTTATGATTTATCGTGTGAACAAGCTTATTCACTTGTGATTTTAATTTCATTTCTTGTTTAATGGGAACATTGCAATTGAGAAATTATTAGCAGAATATGGATAAAGATTTGGTACATTTGTAATGGAAATGGAACTAGTCAATGTGATGCTAAAAGACATGCATGCTTGAAAAAATATAAACATTTGCAGGTTTGAAGTTTGAGCTATAAACATTTCTGCAAGCTTGCATTGCTAGCAATAAAATGTATAAACATTTGAGAAAAACAAGAGGCCAACTGGAAGTAATCACCGGCACTACTACTTTTCTCAGTTTTTCAAGGAGTCCTTGAGCTGTTCTCCCATACACGTTACATATAACTGGTATGTTTTTTATGCAAAGATCAATGTCTTTAGCTACTTAACTATGTCTGTTTGGGTTACTTCTTCTAATTTGTCTAATTTGATACAAGTACCCCTTGGCAGTCAACAACTATCACTGATAGAACTATTGTTGTAAATGTAATATTAGCAGCATGCAACATAATTCAGTAGGGCTCACATCCATATGGTCAGATGCTAAAATGATATGGACTCTCCAGTAACTGCCTGTAATGCCACCTCTAATGCTCTTTGGTAGCTATTCTTCATGGACCAGCCTTTTACAAACTGATGACTTCCTAATATATGTTTAATGGGAAAGATCCCATCTCAGTTTTTTACTATTTGTTTTGACCAAACTTGGCTTTTTGATGAGATTGTATTCTAGGGAGGCTGGGCTACATGGAGTGGTCAAAAGGTTAATTCATTGTGTTATTTATCAAAAACATTGAAAATAACTTCTTTACCTGAAATAGCCCAGAGATATGGTAAAACCACAATGGTCAGGTGGATCCAGGTGGAAAAGCAGTCGGTAAATCCATGTTTAATGTTGAGTAGAACAGAGTCTGAAGTCAATCCAGACCAAAACAGATCCTTAGTTATCTGCTTCAGGAGAAGCTTTCACATGATTCATTTTTACCAGCTTTTATTCACATGTATACTAAGCCATCTAAGAGAGAAACTCTGCTTCCTTGATGTTATGTGTTGATGGATGGCAGCCATGTTGCATGTGTCGGAGCTGGAAGAATCGAGCAGATCTGCTTTCAGATCTGAAAACTGGTCAGATTTCCCCCTGTTCACCATGTGTCCAGATTTCTATGAGCCATATCCCAAAGCAGCAGCACACAGAGTCAAACATGAACTGATTTCCATCCTCACTATGTTGCATTCATAATGACCTATGTCAGACTGAAATGGTGAATTTGCTGATACCGACTTTACTGCCTCTCATGTACAATGTTGTAGTGAAACTTCAGTTGGGGCATCCACACAGTTCAGCTCTACAAAAATACACAAGAAAATAGTTTTTTTTTTTTTTCCCCAAGTACATGGTTCCTTCAAATTGTGTGTTTTGCTTAACAAATGGTTTGTTCTAAAGATATTGACAAGCAAGTCACCAAAGGTCTGGCAGGCACCCTAAAATAATCTAGTCAAACAGAAATGGTCTCAGTGGTTTCCATATCTAAAGGTCATCCTAAGGCTGCAGCCCCCTTTGGTAACCATAGGTAATCATAGGAGGCAGTTTCTGATTTATTTTATTTTAGTTTATTTTTTTGCACTTTAATGTATTTATTAAAATATGATAGGAACACAAAATATTTTTTGCAGCACAAAGAGTGCACAAACCACACCATTTGTGTGAGAATTAGATAACATGAAGAGAACTGATTTGACCTTTGACACTGATCCATAAAAGGTTTTTTGATGTCATTAAAATTATAGCAGCATAAGTATCTCTAACATAAAGACAGCAGCATATAGGGACTTTAATCTTCAACTATTGGGTCAGGTTCTCCAGTGGGAGCCAATGGCAATCTGTGGGGGAGGGATGATGTAGGAGGTAGATTGTGTGGGGGGTAAGTTGATGGAGTCTAGATTTATCCATCTGTGTTTTTGCAGCACCTTATGCATTTTCTTTTTTGTTGTATATCTCAGACAGTCTCCAACTCGGTGACGCATGCTTGTACATAAGAGAGTAAACACCCCCTGACCATCACACATGACTTTGTGTTTTTATTCTTTATAAAACCCATACATCAACCACAGCATGACAAGAACTGGTAGTAAAGTAATCATGTTGCCCTAAATACACTTATTTAGAGCAGAGTGAGAGACTGTCACTGGGAATATTCATACCCTCTGAACTTTCCAATCATAAACTTTAATTTTAATTTTGAAGGGATTAGGGACAGGACCGAAGTTACTAGACAGAGTACTACTATGAAAGCTAAAGTCAGATTACCACAGTTCCAATAGAACCATCTTCCTTCTGCCACAGGAATCCATCTCCTATTTAAAGGGACCTCCTGATTTCCATTAGTATGGGAACTAATGCAAGTTTACTTTACCTGCCTGACTCACCCTGCAGGAGAAAAGCACTCAGGTCAGCGGATATGACACCAAAGTATTTTAAGATTAAATGAAGTTGGATGTTTTTGCATAATTTTATAATGCAGAGGTTTCTGATCAAGTCAAACATTCTTGATGTAGAACTTTTATGCACTTAAAAACTGAACGGGGTCAGTGGCAACCCCAAAACCATAGAAAGGTTAATCAATTCTCATTGTCGTTTACTCTGACATACATAATGAGACAGGACGCCATGTGTATTCGGAACAAACATTTCATTTTTATTCGTCTCTGTCTGCTCGTAACAATACAACATCGCCGTCACAGTGCCACCGGCGACACCAAGTTATTAAATTATTTCTCAATATATATCACACCGTTTTAGTTCATTTTCTTTTTACTGCCGGAGGTCCAGATACATCTGGAGTAAGGCAGGTGCAGTTACTGTCTGGAAACCAGATTTTAATCAGCCACGTCAAACTTAACTTAAATACAACATTCCTCCAGAAAGTTCGTTTTCCTCCTGACCTGTACAATTCGTATCTCCGTTATTGAAGCTGGCTACTGTCAGGTGTAATTCTGACTTCTGAGAGTACAGTTAGAATTCGGAAAAAAAGATCAGTCAAATTCATCATATAGTTTTATTCAGCAGCCCTCCCGTTAAGAGATATACTGTAACGACTTAATTCTTTTTCTTCTTGAAATTTATTGGCGGTTGGCAAAAAACGTTAGGTGAGCATTACCGCCACCAACCGATAAGAAGTGTGGACCACATGACACAAAACACAACTATATCCTATTATACAACATACATTGTTTCAAAAGATCAAATATAGCCTGATATCCTCGACATTTTTTTATTCCACAATGTTTTTTTACATTGTTAAAAAAACAAAAAACAAAAAAAACAACAACATTACATTCAGCACTGCGTATTGAAAATGCTTTGATGGTTAAAAAATAAAAGAAGTCCAACCGGAAGTTGAGCCAACCACTGCGGAACAACAGAGCTGTCACAGTGGAGTCCGTGGGTCTTGTTTTGGGTTGTCGCCTCTGCTACAGATTAAAGTAAGTAGTTTATACCTATCAACAGCTATTAACTAAAGGGTTAACTATGTTCAGGAGGCATGTCGTAAGTTACTTTAATTACTAATGTGTTTTAATTCATCGTTGCCTTTGATTTGTAACTAAGTTAGCTAACATTGCCTTTCCAATACCAATTTATGCTCATTGTGAAGCAAAAAATAAAATTTGCAGCGATGTCTGTGTGATTATTACTTTCGTTCCATGTTCTCAGACCAACGGTGTTTGGCAACAATGTCCTACTAAGGAGCTTAGCTAATGCTAAGTGACGCAAGAGGCTCAGTGGAATAGAAGTGCTGGAAGCATGAATGAAAGTCCCATAATGGAGCTGAGTAGAGCTGGAATCACGACTTTCTGGGAAATAACAGCGTTAATGTAATAACATATTAATTCTAGTGAATACTAAGCCAATACTAAGCAACTGCCTGTCACTATTAGCGCATTTATTTGTATTAGTTTATGTTGTGGTGTTTGTCACCGAGTAAGTATGCTGCGTTTTTTCCCTATCAGTTGAACTCTGCCACATCAAAACTTCTATCCAGGAAATCATGTGGCAGAATCTGTTTTGAATCTCCATTCCTTTCCCACTGCTTGTAAAAAAAAAAAGAGATGACTTGTTTCATATTTACCTGTGCTGTTTTTCTCCTTGACAATTTCACAGATTGGTAAAGAATTTGGATTATGTAAGGTTTTTCAACTGAGAGTTCATTGGCCACTTGTTTCACCTGTGTATGCACTGCAGTGTTGGCTAATCCATTTACACTGTGAGGAAGTTCACGCACTCGGTATGTGGATTTACCCACCACACACTGCTCTCTCTCTACATGTGCAGTGTTTTTAAGAGTCTTATAAACATTTCTCTGTTCATTTAGCTTACTACATACACGAAGAAGAGGATGCTTGCTGCAGGAAACAATCCTTTCCAACATATAGTGGAGCCTCTTAGCCCCGAGGTACCAGGCCAGAGGTTTTTCAATCTTCTTAAACTCGGAGATCCCAGATATGGTAACAACAAAATGAATCTTGGGTGAAACCTGTTCTAATCATCAGATGTCATGAGTGTTTGTTGCCACTATCTATCTGCTCCTCAGACAGGCTCCCGTTCTCTGTCCGGGTGCTGTTGGAATCAGCCATCAGAAATTGTGACGAGTTTCTAGTGAAGAGCTTAGATGTGGAAAACATCCTAAACTGGCAGCAAACCCAGACTCAAAGTGTGGAGGTACCATTCAGGCCGGCCCGTGTCATCCTCCAAGACTTCACGTAGGTTCTTTCACTTTTACTTTTACCACCAGTTATAGCTCTATTGGGGGGAAGATTGCATGTCTTCTTTGCAAGCAGAGCTGGATGAGCATTCAACCTTATGCCTCAGTTTTATCTTCTGAGTGAATAAATAATGTATGAATAAATAATGTACTTCATTCAGTTGAAAACACAAATTTAAATTATCTTGTCATAATCACAATCATGCTAGACTCTTAATTTATTTGACGTCTCTTTTTCAGAGGGGGAAAAGATTAATATATAACTGCAGTGATTTTTAACTAATATTGGGTTCACAAGTTTGAATCTCTAGGTCTGACTTTTGGTTACTGCTGATACCTTTGTTCTGACATGATGACTGCTGTTGAAAAATATTACAAACATTTAAAATTTTCAATCATTTTAATGTGTCCAATAACAAATACTTATCATGTTGTGCATAACAAGTACCCTTCTTCACCACAAAGCTCTACCTTAGCTATTATCTGTGTCCCATCCAAACTCTTCTTTAGTTGTTGGACGGACTTTTGAACCTTTCTTCTGCTCTTAAACATTCTGTTTTTTGTTGAAAGAAGATGTAAACCATTCCACCATTATAGAATTGTAAACGTCTGTGCTGTAATAAAAAAGAGTGCAGGGTTTCCCCTAGAAAACTTGTTAAGCAGTGCACCAGCGGCCCACTGTGTTTTTTTATGAAAAATTTTACGTTGACAGGAAAGGTAAAATATTACTGGGTAATTATGTTACTTGAACCCAATAGAGTTCTTAAAAGCAATAAATACAAAATCTATAATTAAAATAAATATCAATTATTTTCACTTCTTTTAAATCCAAATTAAGTCAGGAGTTAGTGCATCTAAAAACACTATGTAATGCTGATCACATTTACAACTGGCCCAAGCCATAAATGAACTAAGCAACTGCTTAAGGCTCCGGACCCCCTCGCCCCCTCCCCGGGCTTGAGGAGCCCCTTAACCTTAAATGCTGTCATTTTAGCACATACCACAGATATAGAAATGTAATATTTGTTTACTGAGATTACCAATGCTGTTAAATTTTATTTAGTGGTTTCAGAAAATGATTATTTTAGATTATTTTAGTTTATTAGTAATATCTGAAATTGTGGAGTACGCACAATTTAGATCAACATTATAATTCCTAGATAACTTTTATGCAGAGACTCGTACTGCTACAGCCCAGAAAAGGAATTAGAATTAGAATTACATCGAACTTAGAATCCAGAAATACAGGAACAGTCACTATTTAGTTACTTTTTATACTACTACTTGTTAGAAACTGTTTCTACTCAC